CCCGCCGCAGCCGCTCCGCCATGGAGCGCGAGGAACGGGCGCTGCGCGCTGCGGGCGGCTTCGGCCGGGCCCGGCGCCTGCTGGCCGTGGCGTCGTGGCTGCCGTGTGTGGCGCTGGGGCTGGCGCTGAGCTCCGACCTGCTGCTCACGGCGCGGCCCGCGCTGCTGTCCCCCGCGCTCGCGCCCAGCCCCTGCCCGCTGCTGCGCTACCCCGCGGCGCCCACGGCCCCCTTGCCCGACGGCACGCGGCCCTGCACGCGAGGCTGGCTCTACGCGCTGCCCGTCGCTGGCCTCTGGCGCAGCCCGGTCATCCAGGTGGGCGCCGGTCCCCGGCGGGGGCGATGGTCGCCGGGGCGGCCGGGCCGCGGGGTGGGGGCACGGACGAGGTCGCCCAGCCAAGCGCGGCCAGGCCTTTGCCCCACCACCGTCCGCGCTGGCCGAGAGTGCCCACCTGCTGTCTCTGGGCCCTGGCACCAGCCCGGCCGCCTCCGCGCCCCACCCGCAGCTTGCACGGTGCGGTGTTGAAGGGCAAGCCTGGCTCTCCCGGCCCACAGCAGCTGAGCTCGCGGGCGTGGGTGGGAAAGGGGAGGCCGGGTCAAGGGCCGCTGCCCGGAAGGAAGAGCCCTCGAGGCGCCCTCCCGTCCCTGTTCCCGGAGCCGCTCTCCAGGCTGGCGGGCGGGGCCGGTGGCCGGGGCGTGACCCTGTCTCCGAGAGGAAGCCCCTTGGCCAGCTGGGGCCGGGCAGGTAGATAGGTGGGACAAGGTCAGCTAGGGCAAGGGGGCAGCGAGGTCCCCTCTGGAGAAGCAGGATGGCCGGGGACCCAAGTCCTTACCACCCAGGGCAGAGCAGGGACGCCCAGGCCTGGGCAGACCCACCAGGGCCGGTGCCCTCGGCTGTCTCCCCGTGTCCCGCCAGGGCTCCGAGACCCTGCATCTGTGGGTCAGGGCTGCTCTCACGTGGCTGCTGTCACGCAGTGGGACCTCGTGTGTGGGGATGGCTGGAAGGTCCCCCTGCAGCACACGGGCCACCTCCTGGGCTGCCTGCTGGGCGCGGTGCTCCCGGGTGCTGGCTGCGACAGGGGAGCCCTGCCCCTCATGCCCTCTCCTCGCCACCTTCCTCCCGGTGCCATCTGTGTCCCCACTCCCACCAGGTTTGGCCGCCGGGCTGTTTTTGTGTCCTCCCTGGTCCTGGCCACTGTCCTTGGGGCCAGCAAGGCCCTGGCTGCCAGTTTCCCTGCCCTCCTGGCCCTGCGGCTGCTCCACGGGGGCGCCCTGGTAGGGGCCTCCCTGGCCCTCTCTGTGGCGCGTGAGTACCAGGGAGCTGCCCCCCACTCTCCCGGGATGGGTGGTTGCCTGCCCGCCGCGAGTCCTCGGCTCAGGCCACCCCTTCTGCCCCAGGCCTGGAGCTGTGTGACCCCGTGCACCGCCTGGCCTTCTCCTCGGGTGCCAGCCTCTGCTGGGTGCACTACTGCTGCCCAGGCTGGCCGTGTTGGCACAGGACTGGCGCCTTCTGCAGGGGCTGATTGCTCTGGTGACCGGGCTCCTGCTGCTCTTTTGGGGGTGAATGTAGTGGGAGCAGGCTGGTGGCTGCCCTGGGAGCAAATGTACCTGTTCATTCTCTCTCTCCGAGGAGAGGTCACAGCCATGCCGCTGTCCCCACCCTCTGGGTCCGGGAGGGGCTGGCCTCTGCGACCCCGGGAAGGAGGTGGAGGAAGCCAGGGCACCCTCACCAACACCACAGGTTCCCAGCCCTGTTTCCCAAGTCTCCCTGCTGGCTGCTGGCCACGGGACAGGTGGCCCAGGCCAGGAGGATCCTGTGGCACTTCGCGGAAGCCAGCGGTGTGGACCCTGAGCAGGGCTCCCTGGAGGACAGCTCCCTGGCTACAGGTGAGGTGCCCCTTGCGGTAGGAGGGCCAGCCTGGAGAGGCCGGACATCACACCTGCCCCTGTCCCCCCCACCACAGAGCTGGCCGAGTTGGCTACAGGCAGCACCCAGCCTCGGTACCACTCGGTCCTGGGCCTCCTGCACAGCCACGTCACCTGGAGAAACACGCTCATCCTGGGCATCAGCTCGTGAGGAGGGGCGGCTGGGGCTGGGGCTGGGGCTGGCCTTGGCCCCTGGAGCGGGGCATCTGTCCCTCAGTCCCACAGCGAGGCCTCCCTTCCAGGCTGGTTGGCGGGGGCATCCGAGCCAGCTTCCTGCGCAGCCTGGCCCCATGAGAGACATCCTTCTACCTGCCCTATTTCCCGGAGGCCGGCCTGGAGGCCACAGCCATCATCTGCTTGCTCCTGACTGCTGATCGCTGGGGTCGCCGCCTCATCCTGCTGCTGGGCACCCTGGTCACAGGCCTGGCATCCCTGCTGCTGCTTGCTGGGGCTCAGTGTGAGTTTGGGGCCCCGTGGGCCACACAGGAGGTGGTTGTATTTGGGCTGAGGGTCTAGGGTCAGGCCCTGCCTGGGGGGCTGGTGCCAGTAGGGGCAGTAGGAAGCCGAGGGCCCCAGGACTGGCCTGTTTTTCTCTCTGTGCTCTGATGTACAGTTGGGGAAACTGGGTGGGGCCAAGAGTTAAGGGCCTGAGAGGATCCAGGACAGACTGAATACAAGGACCCCATCCAGGTCCAGACTGTGAGGCACCTGCTCTGGGCACTGGATGCAACACAGGCTGAGGGTGTCCTGCACAGTAGCAGCCATGGCGTGAGCAGGGCCTTGGCCAGAAGGAGCCAGAATTTTAAAAAGCTGGGCATGCTGGCCCACAGCTGCCCTCCCAGCACTGTGAGGCTGAGGCAGAATCCCAAGGTTGAGCTCACCTGGGGCACTTTAGTGAGGCCCTGTCTCAGAATGAAAAACAGGGAAGTAGCTCTGTGTGAAGGGCCTTGCTTTAATCTCCAGTACTGCCCAAAATACAAAACAACACAAGGAAAGTACTCAGAATTTTGGGACAATTCTCAGAATTGCAGAAGTAGCAGGAAATGAGGTACCCAGCCTGGTGTCCACTGTCCCTGCACTGTGACCCATCACGAAGAAGCCCCTGGAATCAGCCAGGCTGGCGTCAGGCTGCAGGGTGGGGTAGGTGTGCGCCTGGGACAGCTGTGCCCACACGGGGAGGGAGGCCCTGTGTGGCCGGGCAGGCGCTGTGGAGAGTCCAGCAACCCTGTCCTTTGTCCTAGACCTGCCAGGCTGGATCTCGCTGCCCCTGTCGGTCCTGGGCCTCCTGGCCTCCCAGACCATGTCGGTGCTCAGCAGCCTCTTTGTGGCTGAGGCCTGCCCCACGGTAATCAGGTGAGCAGCATCTGCCCGGCAGCACTGTCCCCACATCACCTTCCTGAACCCTGTGGCGTCCTGCGGGTGCCAAGCCAGGGAGGCAGAGCTCAGGGAAGTGGCTTTCTGGCTCCCAATGGCAGGACAGAATCCGCGGGGTTTCCTGGGACTCCATCCTGGTCTGGGCCCACCAGCTGCACCTCCTCTCCCCACAGGGGCGCTGCGCTGGGCCTCGTGCTGGGCGCCAGGTCCCTGGGCCAGGCAGCTGCGCCCCTCACGGAGATGGCCGGCCAGCGGGGCTTCTTCCTGCAGCACACGGTGCTGGCCTCCGTGGCCATCCTCGCCCTGCTCTGTATCCTGCTGCTGCCCGAGACCTGCGGCCGAGCACTGCCTGTGTCGCTGGAGGATGCCGACCGCCCCCAGGACCGCCTGCCCCTTCTGCGGCCCTCCCACTGAGATGGCAGCCACAGCCCCATGGCACCCAGGAGCTGGGGGAGCCACGGTGGGCAGCCTCCGGCGGGGCAGACAGCGTGTCCACAGCCAGGGCTGTCCCCCAGGGGGCTCTCCCGGGCCGCCTGGCCAGGAGTGCAAGATAAAGGGAGCCCTAGTATCTGGCCACCTTCCTGGGTCTTTCTTGGCGTTGCCTGGCAGGGCCCGTGCTGTGCCCCCGACCCTGGGCCTGGAGGCGGCTCCGGCCCCTTTCTGCCTTGAGAAACCCTACTCTTGGGGGCAAGGACTGCGCCCCGCGAGGTCAGTGTGGCACTCGGCGTGTCAGGCGAACGGGGCTCGTTTTTTTAAATTCAGATTCACACACGGCGCATCCACCAGGGGGCGCCAAAGGCGGGCGCCGCCGGCAGCTGGCTCAGCGTCTGGCTCCAGTCCTCCCACCTGCCCCGGACTGAACCGCCGCTTTCGTGTGGGGGCCGGGGCAGGGCCGGGGCAGGGCCCACGCCCCACCCCGTCCGGCCTCACGGGTGTCCGTACAGGTCCGCCAGTCGGGCGAAGCGCGGGCCCCAGTCTTGGAGGTAGTCGTAGTCCTGGTCCTCCTCGCCCACGCTGGACACGGGGGAGCTCAGCGTCCCCGCCACGGAGCCTTCCCCCTCGTAGTCGTAGATGAGCGCCGTGTCGTAGGGCGGCACGCTGGGGTCGCAGTCCGCAGCCTGCAGGCCCTGTGGGCCCCACGGAGGTCAGCACCCGCAGGCCCCGGGCCCGGCCGATCCACTCCCCCCCACGCGGCGGGCAGCTCATCCTCGGGCCCAAGGAGGCCCCGCCTCCGGCCCAGGATCCAGAGCCCGGGCTGCGCACACCTGTGCGCGCGCCCTCGTGCGGACGCCAGCGGCACCTACGTCTCGGATGAAGCCGGCGATGTCCGCGGGGCTGGCGGGCGGCGCGCGGGGCGGCTGGGGGCGCCCGCGGCCCAAGGGGGCCTCGCGGCGTAGGGGCGGCCGGCCCGGGGGGAAGCTCGGGAACACTGGCTCCCAGGGGTGGCGCAGCTGGCTTATATCGTAGGCGTCCTGCGCAGAGGTCACACGGGGGTCCGTGGGGGCTCCCGCGCCCTGAGCCTGCCTGGGCCCCCCCTCCCCTCCCCGGCCCCTCACCTGGTCCTCCTCCCCGCCTCCCTGCTCGTCGTAGTTGAGAATGTTGTCCCGAAGGTAGTCGTCCTGCAGGCCGCGCAGCAGGCTCCTGTCCCGCGACCGCTGCCGGAACCGCGCTCTGAGCAGCACGAGCAGAACCAGCACTGGGGGAGGGGGCACAGGTGATGGGGCGAGCGGGGTCCCCGAGGGGGCGGGGGACTCGGCGGTGGGTGGGCTGCGGGGGCGGGGCCCGGGTGGGCGGGGTCGCGGGGCGGGGCGGAGTCACTCACGCAGCAGCACCGCAGCGCTCCCCAGCGCCACCGCCAGCACGCCCAGCCCAAGGCCCGCGCCCCCTGCCCTGAGCGCCGCGGCCCCGGGCAGACAGGCGCCACTGAGCCCGCAGCGACACAGGGTGACGTTGAGCGGCTGCTCGCGTTCCTTCGGCGGCTGTCCGGAGTCCTGGAGCAGCAGGCGGAGGCGGTGCAGGCCCTCGGGGAGAGTGTGCCGCGGCCGCAGGCGCGCGTGGGTCCCTGCGGAAGGGCTGCGGTCAGCGGGGCCTGGGCCTCAGCTTCCCAGGCCGCCCGCCCGGGCCCGGGGTGCGCGCACCGTTGACGTGGCTGAGGCTCCAGTTGCGGCCCAGCCCGGGCTCGGCGGGGCTGAGGCGGAAGCGGAAGGGCGCCCCGTGCGGCGGCAGGTCCTGGTCAGTGGCGCCCAGCAGCAGCCCGGGGCCGCGTTCCGGCTCGCTGCACAGGCTTGGAGCCGCCAGCGGCGCCAGTGCAGGCGCGTGGTCGTTCACCGCCAGGATCTCCACGGACAGCGTGCCGGTGGCCGTACGAGGCGGCGAGCCTGAGGGCCCAGGCGGTGGGTGGGTCCACTTCTGGCCCGGTCCATCCCCGTCCACCCTACCACCCCTGGGGACGCCGGCTGCTCACCGTCGTCGAGGGCGAGGACGATGGCCCGGTACCAGCCGTCCTTCAGGAAGGGGGAGGCCGGGCTCAGAACCCTTCGCGTCTGGATCTGGCCAGTGGCTCCGTCCACCTGCAGCCAGTCCTCAGGGTCATAGTCCTTGGAGTAGCTGTTGGGGGGAATAGGGGTGCTGAGCCCACCGGACCCCCAGAAGGGGCAGCACAGACACCTAGGACAACACATACACCACACCCTTCTTGTGCACAGGCCATGCAGATGTGACACACCACACGGGCACAAGGAGCTGCGGCCCCTGCACTTCCCAGGAGCCTTTGAGGGGAGCCCCTTGGTCTGAGCTGGCCTTTGTCCTCCCACACGGGACATAGGCTCAGGGTCCTGCCCCTGGGCAGTGCTTGAGATGGTCAGGGTTGCCACTGAGATGGACACACCGGCCAGGGAGGACAGGGCAGCCGTGTTTGTGTGACCTGGAGACACAGGGTGACACGCATGGCGCCAGGGCTGTGGACACTCTGGACCTCTGCACCTCGCACGGCAGCCAGCGCACCTCTTGCCCGGGACCCACCTGACCCTCTGCAGCTGCACGGTGTCGGGGTCTTGTGCAGAGAAGCTGGCCACGAAGGTCCCGGGGGGTGCCCCCTCTGCCAGGCTGGTTCTCAGCGGGTTCTCGAGGAACACAGGTGCCTCGTTGACGTCCTGCACCCGGATGCTGACTGTGGCCTGGCCCCGCTGGGCCCGGGGGGGTGCTGCCTGTAGTGGGGCCTCATTCTGCACAGACACCCTGAGCTCATAGTGTGCATGGCTCTCATAGTCCAGGGGCTGAGGAGGCAGAGCAGCCACTGCTCAGGACTCAGCTGGGTGACCTCCCTCCTCCAGGACCCCTCCTGGGTTTGTCCTGAGAACCTGTCTTTCCTTCTTCCCCTTTCAACCCTGGTGAAACAGAAACTGCAGGGCTAAATAGCTCAAAGATCAATGCAAAAATAGCAAGACCAATGCCCGTCACTCAGAACGAGCCTGTGTTGTAGGGTCAGGCTCACGTGTGACACAGGCTGTGGGCCAGCATCCCTCTGGTGTTGCTCTGTGGGCCCATGGCACAGGCGGCAGTGGCGCCAAGCTGGGGGCCACCCTGGTTGGGATAGGAGCATCGCTTGAGAATCTACCCCATGAGCAGGTGCCCAGCCTGCCTGGGACAGGAAACTGCCAAGCCAGTTTCTTGCAGTGAACCTCCTGTGCACCGACCTCAGGTGTGTACACATGTTCACCTGTGGGCCTTGGTACCAGGGATTGAACTCGGGTCCTTGCGCTCGCAAGGCGTCCAGCAGAACCACTAAACCCCAAGCCCCTGTGGGCCTGTTCTTCAGCATGCAGTGTGATGCCATACATGTACCATGCCTGTGACGCCTCCAAGGCGGCTCACCTTCACCACAGACAGCACACCCTCGTTGGTCCTGGGGTCCGTTCTGATGCCGAAGTGTCCCTCGGGGTCACCCTCCAGGATAGTGACGTTGGCCACCCAGTTGGGGGAGCCAGGCAGGTCCCTGTCCTCCACCTCCAGCCGCCCCACATCCACTCCACTGACAGCCTCTGTGACCTCCATGAGGAGCTGGGGGACCCAGGCCTGGTTACCCCGGAGTGGGCCAGGGAGGGGCGCCTCGGGGTGCCTAGCCCACCGCCCTCCTCCCTCCCGTGCTGGGTGCCCCCATGGTGCCCAGGGGGAGGCTGGCTGCCCCTCCCACCTCGCGAGGCCCGGAGGGTCCCGCAGCCGCCCCTCCCCAGGCCTTGGGCTCAGCATGCAGGCAGCCGCCCCCGTAGCACCCTCCCCTGGAATGCCCCACACCCTGCCCGCAGCCAGAGCCAGGAGGGACAGGCAGCCCTGCATGGGGCAGAGGCAGCACCTTGCCCCTGGTGAACTCAGGGGCATTGTCGTTGATGTCGTCCACGGAGATGATGGCCGACGCTGTGGCACTGAGGCCTTGTCCAGACATGTCTGCCACCTGCAGCGTCAGGTTGTACGTGGTGACCGCCTGGGGACACAGTGATATGGGGTCAGAGGTTGCAGGGCGGCTGTGCCTGGTGGTGCACACCTGTGATCCCAGCACTCTAGGAAGAGGCAGGAGGGTCCCAAGTTCAAGCCCAGCCTGGGCAACGTAGCAAGACCCTGTCTCAAAATAAAAAATAAAGGGCTGGGGCTGCAGCTCCGTGTGAGGCTCTGGGTTCCATCCGCAGCACCACAAAAGGAGAGGAGGAGGAGGGGATGCTCAGGCCGGGCAAAGGCCTAGGCTGGTGGGTCGCTGGGCGGGGCATCTGGCCCTGCACCATGGTCAGCGTCTCCCCGGCCAGTAAGTGGCAAGAGGCCAGGCGTGGTGCCGGACACAGGCACGGAGGGACAGCAGCGAGCAGTGCCGGCGGGGGTCCCGTGGCAAGGCCGGGGCACGCTGCTCAGGGCCCTGGGGCTCACCCCACAAGGCCAGGCCAGAGGGAGGCAAGCGAGCCGCCGGCCCAGGCAGAAGGAGGCATTTGCTGCCAGCACCCTGGGCTCTCAAAGCCCCTCCAGGCATGGGCCTGGTTTCTGCTCAGCAGATTCCCTGGGCTGCCAGGCCAAGGAAGCTTTTGGGGGGTTGCTGGGGATGAACCCTGGGCCTCTGCACAGAGCCACATTTTTTATTCCAAGATGGAGACTCATGAAGTCAATCAGGCGGGCAGGCTCAAGCTTGCCACCCTGTCCGGAGGCGCGGAGCCGGCTCACCTCACGGTCCAGCCCCACGTGTACAGTGCGGATCTCGCCCGTGCGCTCATGGATGCTGAAGAGCTCGGGGCTCCCCTGTGCCAGGATGGAGTAGTGCAGCGCCGCATTGTCTGTGTCTGGGTCATCGGCGTCGGTGGCCTCGGCCCGGGTCACATAGGTGCCTGGGGAGGACGGGGAGCATGGGGCACAGCGGGCACGCTGTGTGCACAGCACCCCAGGGTGGACCTGGCATCAGATGCCCCTCCACCCGCAGCCCGGCAGCTGGCGCATCAGAGTCAACTCCCGGTCAGGAGCCAGGGTGTCCTCCACAGGCCAGGCCCAGCCTGGCCAGAGCAGTGGGCAAGAAACCCCAGTACCCAGGGCAGGGAGGGAGCTGAGTGGGGCCAGCATGCAGCACCCTAACGTGCCACCTGGTCCCACAGCAGAAAGGCAAGGACGGCGCCAGGCAGAGGCAACATCTCTCCCACCTCAAGGAGAACAAGCCACCAGCCATGAGATCAGGCTGGGCTGCAGACTCGGGACAGTGAGGAGAGGGGGAGATTGGAGAGCGGGAGAAGAGAGCAGCAGGAGCCCATCAAGACCCAAGGGGGCAGTACCCCAGTGTCTCGGCCCCACACAGACATCTGTCCCCTGCTGCTGGTTTTTCCCACACCCCGAGAGGCTGGAGCAGAGCTGAGACTCTCCACGCCCTGCACCAGGACCTTGGGGGGCCCCTCTGAGCATGCACACTGGGCCAGGCAAGGTCTGAGCAGGGAGAGACCCAGTGGCTCCTTGCCCAGGGTCTAGGGTGAGATGCTGCACCCGGACAGGTGACCAGACCCGTGGTGGCAAGGGGCTCTGGGGACCTGCCCCACATGGGCGAGGCCTCATGGAGAAGGGGCAGCATGTAGGGAAGGACAGGAAATTCTGGAGAGCCCTTAGGACTCAGAAATGGAGCCAGTTCGAAGGGTGAGACACCACCGTGTGCCGTGCGTGGTGGTGCACACCTGTAATCTCAGCACTCAGGAGGCTGAAGCAGGAGGATTGCAGCAAGTTTGAGGCCAACTTGGGCTACATGGTGAGTTCAAGGCCAGCCTGCACTACATAGCTAGACCTAGTACTAAAAAACAAAAACAAAAAAAGCCACCACCCATGAAACCCACTACCAGGAGTTGCTTTGTGACCAAAATCGTTGTTCTGGGAATCGAAACTGAATAATCTGAGAACGGGGTTAGTCTTGTGTGAACACATGCCCTAATCTCAGTGGCTGCACCAGGCTAAGCTGGCAGAGCCCAGTCTGAGCGGGTGGGTGGGGGGCAGAGAGGTCTGAACGAATGGACAGACACAGCCCGCAACACGCACGCTGGAATCCCCTGCACCTCTTCTGTAAGTCTGAAATTATGTCAAAATAAAAAGCTAAAAGTAAAACCGAGATGGTTGCTTCAACTCTTCACAACACACGGGATGAAACAGAACAAAGCGCGGCAGGTGGGCCCTTGACTCTCCGAAGGGCTCTCGGGGGTTGAGCAGGCAGGGACGGGGTGGAGGGGCGGGAGGACGGACGGCAGGGCTGTCCAGGCCACACTGCCGCTCTGCAGGAGACGGTGCCTCCCAGTAGACCCCGCGGATGTTCCAAATGGCACTGAATTCTTCACTAGATGGCCAACGTTTCTTTTTTACAGTACTGGGGACTGAACCCAGGCACTGAGCTACACTCCAGCCCTTTTTTATTTTTTGTTTTGAGACAAGTTCTTGCTAAGTCCTTCAGTTGCCTAGGCTGGGCTCAAAGTTTTGCTTGTCCTGCCTCAGCCCCCCAGGGTCCTGGGATGACAGGAGTGTGCCACCAGGCCCGGCTTACACGGTTAACTTTGTCACACGAATGTAACTCCAGGGCCGGGGATTTAGCTCAGTGGTTCCGCTGCCTGCCTCGCAAGCGCAAGGACCCAAGTTCGATCCCCGGTACCAAAAAAATAAACAAACAAACGAATGTAACTCCAAGTAGACGAGGAGGAGAAACCACAGCTTCGAGGAGGAGAAACCACAGCTTCGCCACCCAGCATCCTCCCTGTATTCCGGAGGTGCTGGAATCCATGCTGAGCCGGAAGTGGCTTGGGGAGGCTTGGCTCACTCCAGACTTTGGGGGGAGCCCCAGGGAGGGGTCGGGGAATCCTGCCCCTCCACGCACTCTCACCTGGGGCTGCGCCTTCCAGCACGCGGCCAGCGAACACCTCCTGCACGAAGGCTGGCCGGTTGTCGTTCTGATCCACAACCACGATCTCCAGGTCAGTGGGCTCCTCCAGGACAGACCCTCCCCGGTCCAGGGCAAAGACCTTGAGCTGTACAAGGGGAGAGAGGGCTGGCCGGGCCCAGGCCGTGCAGGGGCAGCAGCACAGACCGGGTGCCCCTGGTGTCCCGATGTCCCTTCCTTGCTCTGTGAGGTTTGGGGGCTGGGCTTCTCTTGAATGTATTTTAATTCCCCGGTACCCTTATCCTGGGTAGAATGGCACCGGGTAATTTCCGGGTGAAGAATACATTCAGGATTCCTGTGTAAGGAAACCAGAACTGGCTCCTAGACTCTGGAGGAAGATTCAGGGCAAATAAAAGGGAACTTTGCTTCCGAAGAGGCAGTAAGGAAGCTGCTCCCCGAGGTCAGCACGACGCTGAACGCTGCAGGTGCAGTGGGCTACCGGTCGCGGCCTGCAGGGTTCTCAGTGGGCTCACCTGCCCCCCACTGACCTACCCTGAGAAGAGCGGCTGCCACGGGATGGGGATGGACCCTGCTTAGGACCCTTCATGACCCACCCACACCTCAGTCAGAACTGGGACAGCTGAGGGCCAAGATCCAGGCCTGCACGGGGCCTCGGGTCCCCTCGGAATGGGGGCAGAATCCCAGCCCACATCCCGGCTGCAGGCCCAAGGTCCGGATCTACCCCATGAGGGGCAGGAGGCAGCGGCTTGCTGACTGGCTGGCCTCAAAGAGGTGGGTGGGGTGGGTGGGGTGGGCGGGGGCCCACCCTGTAGGAGGACGTCTTCTCCCGGTCCAGCTCCGCGTTGAGGAACACCCGCCCTGAGAACTTCTCCACAGAGAAGAGGCCCAGGGGCTCCTCATCCACACCGGGGCCCTGGATGCTGTAGATGACCCCGCCTGGCTGCCGCTTGTCGGACCGGATCTGTGGGCAGCAGAGGCCGAGCACGGAGTGGGAGGAGCACCCCTCACCCCAGCCCCATCTGCACACTCTGCCAGGGCCTGCCGGGAAACCCAGATCAGCCACCAGAGCAGCGGCCACTTGGCCCTGCGCTGGGCGGGGCCTGGGTGTGGGCCCAGCCGTGAGCCTCCTTCCCCTGCAGGGACCCCGGGCACAACCCCACCGCCTGCCTCACCTGCACCAGCATGTAGGGCAGGCCCTTGTAGTTCTCTGACACGCTAATGGGTGGGATGACCCAGGCTCTCCGAACTCGGCCCAGTGCAGGTGGCCGGCGCCAGGGGTACAGGGTGCTGGGGCGCCTGGGGACCCCCCAGGACAAGCCAAGGCTCTGCAACACAGACGGCACCATCAGGCAGTGAGGCGAAGCAGGTTGGGGGGCCACTGCCCTGGGTGGGTCAGGCTGCGTGGCTGGGGAGGGCACAGGGTGTGGCACAGCGCACACCCAAATCTGAGGCCCCGGTGCTCTCTAGGAGAAGCCTTCTATCTGCTTCCTCACCTGGGAGCCTCAGAATCGGGCCACACCCCAGGGGTCACCCTCCCCAGGAGTTTGTGGACTGGCTAGTGGGCCCCAACATCCCAAGGGGTACAGGAGTGGGGGCTCCTGGGGCTCGAGGTGGCTGTTGCTCCCCAGGAGCGTGGGACTCGGGCCAGGCCCTGGGGTGCAGCCCCTGCCAGTGAAGAGTGGGGACAGCTGCGTGGGAGGGTCCCTTCCTCCAGACTGGCTCTGCAGGGTCTGGGGTTGATCTGCGGCTACCCTGGTCTCCACACGGCTTGCGGGCTCTTGGTGGGCGTGGGTGGCCAGGGCAATGCCCGCGCTGTCAGGAGAGGCATGGCAGGAGCCAGACCTGAGAGCCCTTGGCCCCCAGGGCAGTGCTCACCCAGCAGGCTTGGTGTCCAGAACTGCCCTCGGTCACAGGGACCCCCAAGTGTCAGTGCTACCTTGCAGGAGCAAAGGCCATGCTGTGCCTGATTTCCAGTTTGTCAAGGGCATTGGTTTGTGCCAGGCACCTCAGGTGGCACAGAGCAGGCTGACCAGGGCATGGTCAGCCCAAGACGGCTGGACGGGACGGGCGGCCCCGCCCCACCTGCAGGGGCTTTCTCCCCGGACCGGAGACAGGGCCTTGGGCACCCCTTACTTCCTCGCCCCACACAGAGGAGCCCCAGAGCCATAGTGCCAGGGCAGCCGTGGCTACAGGGCCCAGCTGAGTGCCCGCTGGGCGCAGGGGACACACAGAGAGAACGGGCCCAGGTCTCTGAGCCCAAGGCCTTCTCTGGGGGGGCCTCTGCGGGCTGCCCAGGAGCACAGAGGGTCTGGGGGCCTGGAGGGCAGGGCCAGGCCTGGCACTGCCACAGGTCTGTTGTCCCAGCCCCTCCCCAGCATGGCCCCATGCAGACAGAGCCTCCTTTGCATCCCAACACTGACACTGTTGGGGAGGGGTGACCCCCACTTCCTGTACCAGGACTGCGGGTGTCCTGAGCCCAGGCCAAGATGTGGTTCCACCCTGCACCCACACCTGGGAACGGCCTGGGGGGAGTCCTTGTTGGATGAGGGGTGCCGGCACCCCTTCCTCAGCAAGGGGGCTCTGCTCCAGGGTGGATGCTGAATGGAGCACCAGGGTGCCGGGCGTGGGTGCAGAACTGCCTGGGCCCTGTTCCTCCACACTGGACCATGAGCTCCGGGGCTCCTTTTGGGTCACAGGGCTGGGGCCCCTGGCTGCCCTTCTCTGCCCACCTGGTTGCGGGCTTCTGCTACACCTTGCTGTCTGCTGCCGCTAGGACTGAGACTCGTGGAGGGACCGGGATGTGGGGTGGGGTCGGTGGCGGTGCAGAGCTGAGGGTGCTCTGGGGAGGGCCCTGGCCCAGCTGAGGAAGGGACTGTGGGCACCTGCGTGCCCACACAGGGCCAGGCTCTGTATTCAGTCCCGGCTGCACAAGGCCCTGTGAGCTTTGCTGGAGGATGCACGGTGCAGTAGCATCCAAGCCAAAGCAGCCTCTCTGACCCCTGCCCCTCAGGGCCGACCCCAGGCCCCTCCTCCACACGGCTCCACGGGACCCAGTGGGCGGGAGGCCACCAGCCCTCGCCCGGGGCTGCACACTGCTGGCTGACAGATGGCCGAGCTGCCCTCGTGCCTGCCAGGGCCGGCCAGGCACAAGCTGCTTCCAGGTCCGGGCAGGCTCCTGCCGTGCGCCAGCCTGCCCACCCTGCAGCGGTCTGGCCACAGCCTCGAGAGACGTGGGACTGCCCTGAACCTCCCTGGCCAGCTCCACGCCCTCACGGCTCAGGAACCGGGGTACACACCTCATCGCATGGCTCCAACAGGGGCTCAGAGAGGCTGAGCCCTCCACCCGGAGGCCCGAGACAGTGACCTGCTGCCTGGCCACAGCCCGCCACCTCTCATCCGGCTGCCCAAGCTCGAGCCAGTCCCCCACGCCAGGGCCTCAGCCCCACATCCCGGCCTCCGGATCCCCACAGCCACGGCAGCCCGAGGGTGGGAGCTGTCGGTGCGCCGGGCCGCCCTGGCTCTCGGGGCGTCTGTGCAGCTCCTCTCTGTCCCCTGCTCTGCCTCCCCAGAGGGCCTGGCCCCGGAGGCAGGCCTGGGGGTGCCTTGGGCACTCAGCACCTCAGGCCTGGCAGACAAAGTCCCCGGCAGCCCGCAGGGAGCAGGGGAGAGGCCTCTCGCGCTCGCTCTCACCTGCGCACGCTCTGTGCCCCACACTGGGACAGGCCCTCTCTCTGATGGAGGCTCCAGCACACCCAGGCTCCCCCTGACCCGGGACCCTCAGAACCATCTGGAGGCCCTAAGGACAGCCAGAGCCACTGGCCCAGGCCCAGGCCCAGGCTTCCGGGCTCCTCCCGTGTCTGCCTGGCACCCAGCCCGAAGGAGCTGACAGGACAGTGTGGCCGGCCAGGTCGGTGCCTTGCTAACACTGAGGCGGTGCCACCAGGGGTGGACTTGTGAGGACAGCAGGCATCCACTGTGGCCCCTACCAGCTGTCAGGACTGCAGCCGTGGAGCCAGTCCGGAGAGGCTGCCAGGCCTGGCTGGAAGTTAACAGGCGCTTGGGCTCCCCGGCCTGGGCACACATCCTGACTGGACCGCGGCGGGGGTCCCAGCCCATGGGGCCACCCATACTGACCACCATAGCACAGCAAAGTGGTTCTGGAGCTGACCCTGAAAGAAGAGGGTCTGGATTCTGGCAGGAGCACAGGCAGAGTCCTCTGGGCTGGGGACAGGAAGCCCTAGTGGACTCCCCACCGGCTTCCCAGGCCCAACCCCACCCTCTGCAGGCTGGAATCCAGGGCCCCTGTTCCTGGACGGCCAGCATGCCAGGAATGGACCAGCTGTCAGGCAGCCCAGGGGCCCCACCTTCTCCACCTGCCCAGGGTCTCCGGAGAGGGGAGGAGGGGCTCAGCTGTTCCCTCCCATCTGCGTGGCTGTCGCCAGGCCCCAGCCACAGTCACTGTCACGTGGGCCATCTGGTGGACACTCTGGCATCTTGAGGGGCCCTCAGCAGCAGGTGGGGCCTCTTGGAGACATCCATGTGGCCCTCCCTCCTCTTCCCGAAATGGAGGGGTCCAAGGTGTAGGCCCAGCAACTGGGGACACCGTGGGTGCAGGGGAGGGGCAGGAGGAGTGACCAGCTGGACCAGGGTCTGAAGGCAGAGCTAGGCGTGGGAGAGAGGGTTGGGGGTTCACAGACCCACTGTGCGGGCTCGGAGACAGCTCTCACCTTGGGGCCAATGTGAGCCACGCTGACACTAGGGTCTCCAGCTGCTCAGTGAAGGAAACTGGGAGCAAACAGCGAGGGAGAGGAATCCCAGCAGCTCCCCACCCTCGCAGTGCAATGGGGCCTGCTGAAAGGCGGACACCCTTAACCCCCAAACCCAAAAGAGAGGGTCCGGGGAATGCTCGAGCAAGTGCCCTGTCTTAGTGCCCTACAGCAACTGGGGAGCAGGCACCAGAGCAAGCAGCCTTGTGCCAGTGGGTCTTGGGGTGGGACCAGGTGTCCGGGCCTAGGGTTGGCATCAGGCAGAGGCTTTGGGGGCAGGTCGGGGGCAGCCAGACTGGGCTGCTGTTCCCATGTGGGGGGCGAGAACCCCAAGGCTTGGGGCGGGGAGCAGCTGCTGGAGGGTCTGGCTGGCCAGGGCTGGGTCAGCTGCCAGGGACTGAAACCTGAGCTGGCAGCAGGAACTGGAGTCTGTGGGAACTGGGGGCCCAGGAACCCCTGGTACGTGCGGGGGAGGGACAGCCCTGCTGCACGCCACCCACTTGCTGACCTGGGGTGAGCACATGTCCCCAGCAGCCTAGAGCTACAGGCTGACCAGTGGACGCCTGTAGGCCTGGGTCTGGGCTCTGGGGCCCAAGTGGGGAGAGCAAGGTGGACCAAAGTGGACAGCAGCATTCGGGGCCCAGGCGGATGCTGGGGGTCTGCAGGGGACAAAAGGCACCACAGCCGGCCCGGGCTGGGCTGCGACCCAGAACTGGAGTTCCTGGAGGGCAAAGCCCACAGCTGGCCTGCAGCCAGGATGGCGGGCAGGGGCAGGGACGCCACCTACAGGTGGGGAGGGTCGTCCCAGCTCGGGTTGGGGCCCAGACACCCGCTGGGCTTCCTGCTGCCCCTCCTGCTACCCCTCGCCGCCCCCCACAGATTGGTCCCTGGCCGGGAAGGGGAGGGAGCTCTGCCCGGCCCTCTCAGGCCCCCAGCCTGGCACCACAGGGTGGCTCCTTCACCCAGCGGAGGACGGAGGACGGTACGCTCCTCGGCATCCTGGGAGCAGCACTCCGCGAGTGGGCGCCCCTGCAGCTCCCACCCCCGGACGGCAGGGGCCGGGGTCCTGGGACAGCATCCCACGGCCAGGGGACCCACGGGCGGCCACCCTTACCTGTGCCAGCAGCCCGAGGGCCAGGAGGAGCGCGGTGTCCATGCGGGCCAGCGGGGGGCGAGGGCGAGGGGCCGGCTTGGTGTCCGGCGGGCACCTCCGCTCGGGCCTGGAGACGCGGGCGTCTGAGTGACGGCGCGAGTGTGCGAGAGGCCGAAGACAGCATGTGTGCGACGGGGCGGGGAGTGGGCGGGGAGTGGGCGGGGCGGAAGGGCCCCGGGCTGAGTGAGCACGTGGGCCCGAGGGTAAAGGGGGTAAAGGCTCAGCACAGGTGGGGCGGGCCGGACCGAGATTGAGGCGGGGGCAGGATGGGGAGCGACGGGGCGGGG